GAGTTGATATCTGCAAAGGTAATTAAAAGTCACCTTAATCATAAATGTCATATCGGGCCCTCCCTGGTGGCTCAGCGGGTTAAAACACTGCACTAAGAAGCTAAAGCCACTTCCACATGAGTTCGATTCCCGCCTGCCCCGGAGGTGACCACATGGCGCAGCAGACCTCTCTTGACCCGCCCGCTGCTCCCCTCAGCAGTGTACTTCGTCGATCTGCCTGTTCTGCTCCCCACTCTGTCTCTGATGAAGCCTCTCGCCGCCCCTGAGCCTCTGGCCTGTACCCCAGTTCTGTATGCACAAATAAATCTTTAAAAAAAATACATTAAAAAAACCATAAATGTCATATCAATCATAAAGGAAGAAGTAAAATTTTCTGTTTTCAGATGACATGATCTTATACACAGAAAATCATAAAGACTACAGGGAAAGAAAAAAAAAACTGTTAGAACTAATAACCAAATTCAACAAAGTTTCAGGATACAAAACTTAGCGGCATTCTGCTGGCAGGGATGCAAACTAGTACAAGCATAATGGAAAACTATTTGGAGGTTTCTCAAACTGCTAAAAATGGAGCTTCCCTATGACCCAGCAATCCCACTCCTAGGTACCTACCCAAAAGACACAAAAACACTGATTCAAAAAGACATCTGCACCTCCATGTTTATTGCAGCTTTATTTACAATAGGAAAGACATTGAAACAGCCAAATGCCCAAAAGTGGAAGACTGGATTTAAAAGATGTAGTACATATATACAATGGAATATTACTCAGCAATCAAAAAGAAAAACTCATGCCTTTTGCGGCCACATGGATGGAGCTCCAAGGGATAATGCTTAGTGAGATAAGCCAGAAAGAAAGAGAAAAATACCGGATGGTTTCACTCATAGCAGGAGCATAAAGGATCAGGGAGGGAAAAATAATAATAATGAACAACTATATACCAGAGATATTTTATGGGGGTGGAGTGGGGAATAGGATTAAAACTGGGGGGTGGGGGGGAGTGCACTGGACTATGGTGATGGCACACGGGTGGGGATTACAACTGAGATGGGAAAAGGCACAAAATGATGTAAAAACAAACCATTATATTATGTTTTAAATTAGCTGCATTTACATAAACTAACAATGTACTATCCAAAAATAAACAATCCCATTTACAATAGCCTCAAAAAGAATAAAATACTTTAGAGATATATCTAACCAAGGAAGCAAAAGCTCTTTACAGTGAAAACTATCAAATACTGATGAAAGAAATTGGAGACAGCAGAAATATATGGTAAGATTCCTATTATTCATGGATTGGAAGGATTAGCATTATTAAAATGTCCATATTACCCAATGTGATCTATTGATTCAATACAGTCCCTATCAAAATTTCAGTGAATTTTTAAAGAAATTTTCAAAAATAGAGCAAAAGAAAACAAACAAAAATCCCAAAATTCACATGGCATCACAACAGACCCCAATTCATTAAAGCAATCAAGGAATAAAAACTAAACTGGAGACATCACACGTCCTGATTTTAAGCAATATTCCCACACTACAATCCTCAAAATAGGATGACAAGAGAACAAATACCTAACAGAACAGAAAATTAAAGCCACCCAGATATAGTTAACATTCAAGATGACCTAATTTTCTTTTTCTTTCTTTCTTTCCTTTATGTGTTTCTTTCATTTTAAAAGCACAGGTTTATTAGGAGAAAGAAAAAGGGAAAGAGAGACACCTGCGTAGATACAGGCGGGCAGAGAGCGCCTGCCACTGCTTTGCAAAGAGACAGACAGGACTGTGGAAAGAAATGCCTGCTTCGTCACTGGCAGGCAGGAGAGCTGCCTAAGATGACCTCATTTGCAACAAAGGGGCCAAGAATACACAGTAAATGATGGAGGAAAACTGAAGAGCCACATGCAAAAGAACGAAATTGGATCTCTATCTTAAACCATGTACAAAATCAACTTAAAACAGATGAAAGATTTAAATGTAAGATCTGTATTGTAACACTCCTAGAAGAAAACAAACTCCTTGATGTTGGTCTTGGCAATGGTTTTTTTTGGATCTGACACCCATGCACAGCCAACACAGTCCAAAATAAACAAGAGGGATTTCATCAAACTAAAAGCTTCTCCACACCAAAGGAAACGATCAAAAAAGAAAGGAAAGATATCATACAAATGGGAGAAAAGATTTGTAAGCCATATGTCAAGAAGGCATTAGTATACAAAATAAAAAACTCTGCAATTCAATAGCAAAACATACATCTGATTTTAAAACGGATGAGTCGCAAGTAGATATTTTTCCAAAGGAGACATACAAGTGGCCAATGAATGAGTATGAGAAAAGACGGTCAGCATCACTGATCATCAGAGAAATGCAAATCAAAATTGCAATGAAATACCGCCTCCCATTTGTTAAAATGTCTATTATTAAAAATAAGGGCCCTCTCTCCCTGGTGGTGCAGCGGGTTAAAGCACAGCACTGAGAATCTAAAGCCGCTTCTGCATGAATTCGATTCCCACCTGCCCCGGAGGTGACCACATGGCGTGGCAGACCTCTCCTGACCCGCCCGCTGCTCCCCTCAGCAGTGTACTTCATCGATCTGCCTGTTCTGCTCCCCACTCTGCCTCTGGTGAAGCCTCTCACCACCCCTGAGCCTCTGGCCTGTACCCCAGTTCTGTATGCACAAATAAATAAATCTTAAAAAAAAAAAATAATAAGGGCCCTCCCTGGTGGTGCAACAGGTTAGAGCGCAGCACTATGAAGCTATCACAGCCATTGCAGCACAGAGTTCGATCCACAGCCAGGGGTTGACCTATGTGGCGTGGCAGACCTCTCCTGACCTGCCCGCTTCTCCCCTCAGCAGTGTGTTTCAGTCCATCTGCCTGTTCTGCTCCTCATTCTATCTCTGGTGAATCCTCTCACTCCCCACACCTCTGGCCTTTACCCCAGTTTCACATGTATAAATAAATAAATCTCTAAAAAAATAAAAGAACAAATGTTGGGGAGAAGCCAAGAAACCCTTGTGCACTGTTGATAGGAATATACATTGGCACAGTCATTGAAAACTGTGAATTTTCCTTAAAAAAAAATTAAAAGAGAACTACCGTGTGATCCAGCAATTTCAGTTCTAGGTATAGACCCAAAGGAAATAAAAGCGCTATCTCAGAGAAACACCTGCCATGAGGAGAACTTCAGAGCTACTGCACTGATACCTGGGGAACAACACAGGGAAAACACCTGAGTATGAGCTGCTGTCAGTGAATAGATAAAGAAAAGATGAGAAACACATACTGATATTGCATTATAAATATATAGGGTGTGTGCGTGTGTCCATTACTTATATAATAGGATATGATTCACTGATTTAAAAAAATCCTGCATTTACAACAACAGATGAACTCGGGGCATTGTGCTAAGTGAAATAAGCCAGACGGAGAAAAGTAAGTACCGTGTGGTATTATCACTCCTAGGTGAAATGTCTTAAAAAGAGAAAAATTGTCAAATTCAGGACCAGAAAGTAAAAATGTAGTTCCCAGAGGCTAGGGGCTGGGGGGAAATAGGGAGAAGTTTGCCAAAGATTATACTTTCAATGATAGATGACTAAATTCTGTAGTATGGTGACCAGAGTGAACAGGTACTATTCAATCGATACCATGGGAATCTCCCTCCCCTTTCCAGGACTCAGAAAACTGGGGGATGAACCCTGGATCCCAAGGCTGGACACGCCCATGGGTAAGGCCCACCCACAGGAGGCCCAGGCAGAACAAGTATGGTCCTTGCTTCCACCGGGGCTGGGATGCCAGATGTACCCATGAAAAGTTTGCAGGAGTCACACTAAATCATCTGCACAGCCTGCTGCCTTGGGCTCAAGTTCTGGCAAGAAAGGCAATTTGGCCATGATGTACCTGCCCGGTGGCGATACCCAAGACTGCCAGGAGCCAGGCTACGGGGCCGGGAGAGGTAGAGGTCCAGGAGTGCACTAACTGCCTCTATAAACATGCCCTCCTTCTGGAACCCCAGGACCAGGATGAAGACAAGCGTCCGCTCTCTTCTCCAGGGCAAAGGAGTTGGTGCGTAGTTTGGATCTACCATGCCAGATTCTTCTCATCAAATCCTCATCCAAAACTCATGGGCTAGACATTATTATTAGCCTGTAAGGAGCCCAAGGAGCTGAGTAGCTAAGTGGCCTGCTCAAGGTCACACAGCTCACATAGCCTACAAAGGAGGGACTTGGGCCCAGGCGTTCTGAGTAGCTTTGGCACTTGCAGGAACCCTGATTCTGCAAGCCCCTCCAGGGCCAAGACTCCAGGCTTTGCACTATCAGCCTTTCTGGCCCTCACCCTGGAGCCAGTACAACAGAGCCCTGCTAGTACTGCCTTCAAGTTATGCCAGATTTCACCATTTCCATGCAAGCCCACTGCTTCCACCTCAGTCCAAAGAAATATCCCCCTTTTCCTGGAGAAACATCACCTCCCCACTGGTCTCTCCCACAGCTTCCTTGTCTCCTTCCTCTCCATTTTCCACTTGGTGGGCAGGGCAAAATGCCTATCAAATCACATCATCTCACCACAAAGAACTTTCTAATGCTTCCTATTGTCTTTAGAAAAAAAATTCCAAGTTCCTACCCATAGGCTGGAGGACCTACATCAGCTAGTCCTTCAACTCCACCTGCTATGTATGCCTCCCCTCGCCCCTCCGATGGCCAAGCAGCCTCCATGCTGTTTCACTAATCTGTTCTGCTCCTTTCTGCCTCAGCAGTTCCCTCTGGCTGGACCTCACCTGGTGGGGCCTTTTCCTTATTTCATTGTTCTCCCCCAGACGCGGGAGCACTCTGTTTCATTTCTTATTCACTGATTTACTGATCCAACATGTGGTCTCCCCCAGCAGAATGGAAGTTCCATCACCTGACCCACTCTCTGCCATGCCCCTAATTTACAGCCCTGGACACAGAGACACCGTGGGTACTCAGCAGACACGTAGCTGTAAACGAGACACAGACCCACCTGGTTCCGGAAGATCAAGGCCACCACGCCACCAGCGAGCTCCATTATGAGGCAAATCGCAAGGACATACATAAACTGAAAAAGAAAAAGTCAGAGATTCGCCTAGAAGGCCCAACGGAAGCAGCATCCATGCTGGGGTAGTCTGTAACGACTATTCTTGGCTCCTGGGCCTTTTGCCCCTTTCTCCTAGGAGGAGATGGGAGGTGAACAGACATTCCCAGGGAAAGCCCTTCTCTGGATCCAGTGCCAGGAAGAGAACTCAGCTGGCCCAGCCAGTCTGTCATTGACATGTAACCCAGAGGTCATCACAGGGTCTTGATATAAAAGTGAACCTCACCCCCACCCATCACCCCACACCACCACGAGGAAAGCTGCTCCTCTCACCAGCTAAATTAAAGGAGACAGGCGTGGCTCGAAGGCCCAACTCTGCTAAAGATCCCCACAGACGAGGGGTGAGGGTTACAGGATACTCACCCTCCCTGCCTGGCATGGGAAATGGATTGTTCAAATGGATGCCAGAAACCTCCAGCCTCAGACAGCACCAAGACCCTGCTGCTAGAGGCTTTTAGGGGTTTTCCACATGAAACACTGAGGTCCATGTAGTTACTGAGTAAATGGATTTCCTTTCCCAATAATCCTGGCTTTAGGCCGCCATGGCTCCCCCCTTTACGAGGGGGAGGGGAGGGCAGGTGGAGTTGGCTCCACCCCTTGACTCCACAGTGGACCATTAGCACCTGGGGCTTCTGGCAGAGTTACCAGCAAAGGTGACCTGGGATCTCAGCTGTAAGCACTCGTCGGCCTGAGGCTGCCCGTGACCATGCCAAAGAGAACATGAGGATAATGCAGGACAGCCCAGCTGGGAGGTGGCATGAGAACGAGGTCAGGGTGCTGTGGAGACCCCTGAACCTGAAAGGAATAACATGTTGTGTTTTCATTTGCTCTCATTTGAGTGTGGAGTTGCCCAATTCCAACATGGGATTTAAGTGAGATTATTCAAATCATCTTTTATACACAGACTCAGAGATGGGCCCTCTTGGGGCAGGTGGGCTGATTCCAAAAAACCCTCCGGAGAGCTGGCTGGAGGCAAGGGCTGAAGAAACCTGACTACCTGAGGGTCCAGGGTGGGTCTCAGGCCTCTCGTGGACTCCAAGGACCCCCCACGCCTTGGCTGAGGGCCAGTGGGGCTGACTCACCGCTTGGAGGAGGCACAGGTTGTCACGGAGGGAAGCCAGCACGCCAATGAAGGAGACGATGAACATGATGACCCCCAGGAGGATGAGGATGATGGCTGGGGCCAGGAAGGCACTTTCAAGGGTTTTGTATTTCTGCCGCTCGACCTCTGCGTAGATCCCCACCGACAGCACCAGGCCCCCGATCAGCTGCAGCAACAAAGGCAGGGGATGAGGAGGGGGAAAACTGGCAGCCACTGAGTGTCCAAGGTACTCAGCTGAGGGCTGTGGCAAGTGCCACGGGTGGGAGGGAGCAGAGTAGAGGATGCTCACCCCAGACGACCACACAAGGGGGAAACTATAACAGGCTGTGCTCCTCCAAAATTCATATTATGCCGTCCTAATGCCCAGTGCCTCAGAATGTGACTGTATTTGAAGACAGAGTTTTAAAGAAGGGCAATAAAGATAAAATGAGGTCACGTGGGTGGGTCTTCATCCATTGTGAAGTGGTCACTTGTGAGGAGAGATTAGGACCAGGCATGGAGGGAAGACCATGGAGAAGGTCCAGGGAGAAAGCAGCCCCCCAGAAGGCAGGGAGAGCAGCTCCCAGACAAAACAAACTCTACGGACACTTTGATCTCAGACTTCCAGTCTCCAGAATTGTGAGATCATAAATTTCTGTTGTTTAAATCTGTCGTAATTTGTTATGGAAGTCCTAACAAACTACTACAAACCCTTTGGAAATGTTGCTGGAGAGGGGAGTTCCCCCATGGGTGAAGGTGGGGGGGGGCAACATGCCAGTGGCTAAAGGCTCAGAGAACCAGGCTGAACCCGGATCTGCTGCCCATCAGCCCTGGGCCTTGGACAGGCACTGACCATACCAAACCTGTTCTCATCTGGAAAATGGGTATGGAGGTTCTTGATTCTGTCCTGCTCACCCCTCAGTTTTTGCAGGCCTGCCTGCCAAAAGGGATATTTTTCTAATCTTCCAGGTACCTCCAGCAGCCAGAACAGTCCCATGTCCATTGAATGGATGAGAGCTACTTGCAATACCCCCTGGCCTGGAGTGTGAAGCTGGCCACCAGTCCCTTGTCTTCCCAAGCTTCCTACTTTCTTGGTTCAACACTCCCAAGAACAGAGACAAGTCATCCGAGATGTGGACCTGCTCACTGAACTGAAGGCAGCATGGGAGAGGAACTGGAAGCTGTGGTGCTGTCAGCCAAGGCCCAGTGAAAGAGACAGATGTTGACGAGGCCTGCCCTGAGCACAGCCCCCTGTCAGCGCCCCGCCAGTTATCCGTGACTGTGCCCTGGCCTTACATGGACTGGAAAGTGCCCTCAAAGTAGATCCCTTTGACTGACTTCTACAAAGCGCCAAGACTGTCCTGGGTAAAAGGACATGGCCACTTGCCCCTGAGCTTTGACAAGTAGCTGGAATGTCAAAAATGAAACAAACAGACCAAGCTTAAGTAACACCGGAAGACAGAGGATTACCAGGCATCATCTCCCATGGGTCAGCACTTGGCGGTATTTCCGGCTAGGTGCCACTCCCCTTGACCTGAAAAGATCACCCAGGATGACTGGGATCCATTCCCCCCACTCTAAAAGAATGCCTATCCAATAAGACACGCCCCAGGTCTACAGACTTGAGCAAACCCAGCTGTCAGGTACTTATTAACGCATTTGGCCATGCCAGAAAACCATGAGTAAAATGGCATCAGAAAAATTACCCACAGGTAAACTATAAAACATAAGATGAGATGCAGAACACATCCACACACTCCCCCAGACCTTTATAGGAAAATGGCGATCCCAGGAATTATACCTGCCTTTGATAAAAGTTACCTAGAAGCTAGCTGTGAATCCAAAACTCAGGCATATTTAAGTCCAGCCTAAGCCCATGGGTTCTCCAAGAACAAGTGATTTTAAAAGTCAAATTCCTTCCAAAATATCCCACTTATCCCTTACTTAGCTGTAACCCTGAACCATACACAGAACCCAGACATCCCTCCGTTCCAAAGCTGAGGATCATGGTTAAAGAGAACCTCACTGAGAATGAAGCCTTCAGAGCCTAGACAGGATATGTGAGGTCACAGTGCACCTGTGGGGGGCAGAGGTGAGGTTTTAGCTTCTATTTTAATGACAAGTTAAATTCACATGCTGTCACTGAACTGACAATATCGTAACATTTCCAGAGCTTATCCCTGAGACTTCTGTGAGTGCTAAGTTTTCTAGGCACTGACATCAGCCCACCACCCCCATCCACCTCCATCCCTCATTCCTGTTCATGGTTATGCTTTCTGGGTTAAAGAACCTGCTTTGGAAACTATCTCCAAAACACCAGGGTTGTCGCTGGTCTCAATTCCAAGCAGCCTTCTCCTTAAAGGCAGTCAGTAGCTTCTTCTATTTTTAAAAGCTCCCAGAGCCCTGGGACGCATTCCAGAATTGTCTTGCTGGCAGGAAACAAAACTTCCTTTGGTCTGATCTCTCTCCCATTGCAAAGCATCGCCTCTTCCTTGGTAGTGAGTCTTCCAACATTTCCAGATCACTAAGTCCCTGGGAAAAGCAAATACAAACCCAAGCCTCCTCATACTCCCCAGCACCGTGCACAGCGTTCTTGCAGGCGCTGTTTCTCCTGCTCCAAGCAAAGGGGCTGCGAGCCCAGCCCATGAACAGCCTGGCAGGCAACTCCCCAAGGCAGCCCCCCACATATTGCAGGCTGAGCTCGTGTTGGAGTGCAGTGGGCATGGGGAGAGGCTGGCATGCTCTTCCCATGGATTAAATGATATTTACATCTGCAATGACATCAGTTTATGTTTCTATCTGAATATAAAATTAACTGTCAATGCTAAGCATGCAATCCCATCCACTCTTCTCTGCTAATTATAGCCCTTCACCAGGCGGCCAGCCACTCCAGCTCCAGTGCAGGAAGTGAATGGTCCATTTATCAAGGAGGACAGCTTCAGCTAAACAGCACAGGGGCAGGGACACACAGCATGCCAATTTGTGGCCAAGAAGGGAAAGAGCATGCTATCGCCAGCACACAGGTTAGGCCCAAGGCCCTGGACTTTTTCAAGTCACATGGTGTCTTCATCAGGCTACAAAGGAGCTCCGTCATCCAGTGTGAACCGGGCTTACAGGCCCACTCTCCCCAGCATCCTCTTCCTCCTCCTACTCAGCTGTTGGGAAGCAAAAGGCCCGGGCAGGCACTCCAGCACCTGCGTCTCCTCTTGCAGGAAGCATCTGGTCACTGGCCCCCACTGACTCACCTTCAGCAAGTCTGCCCTTTTTCCACATGCAAAGACACCCACCCACCACCTATTGTGTTCCAGGCCCTGTAGCAGGCTCCAAGGGGACACGAAGCATCACGAGACTAGACACAGGGTAAGAATGAGGAAGGCGAGAATAGAAGAAGCTGGAAATGTATGTTCTGGGGATGCATACAGGGGGTCTTTGAGGTGAGTTAGTCACAGCATTGCTTCATTAACCTCTAACTGAAACACTCCTTCTATTTCACATGCAGACAGCAACCCACAGCATTGTTAACCATAGCTGTGACTCTGTCATCAAAGGACATCAAATTAGTTATTACTGGATTGCTGAATATCTTAAAATATCATATATATTCCACATCAGTTCAGCATATTAGGCTCAGTGTTATATCTGTTGACTTAATGCATGGATAAAGGACATTATCACAGGACTGAGTTTGTACTATTTTAAGAGTTGTACCTCAATAAAATTGATCTCTTTAGCAACCCTGTGTATGTCATTTTATGTATTTAAGCCATGTGCTCTGAAGAGGATTCCATAGGCTTCCTCTGAGAGCCATGGGGATCCCTGGACAAAAGAGGTGAAGAGTCCCTCATCTATGGGAAAAGAACTGTGGTTCTCGCCATGGACAGGAGCAGAGGGCTGGAAGAATTAAAATAAAAGTAAGGTGGGGAAAGAGAATCACAGAAATTAGGATGAGCTTCCAGCAGGAACCAATGTTTCCCAGAAGATCTCAAAACTGCTTCATTCTAGATCTCATGGGGCACTGGAAGATGCAGGACTTTGTCCTGGACCCAATCTAAGCACTTCAATGAATTTCCTGCTTAAAGGATGTGGGAAATAGCCGAACTCCAAGGATTAAGAGAGCCTTTAAATAAGATGGCGCAGGTCTTCACGTCCACAGGTCCACGGCCTCCTGCCCCAGGCCCGGGCCTTGCTACAGGGATCCCTCCTCCAAAGCAGCCAGCCCCAGCCCCTGTCCTGTACAGAACCAGGTGCTGGAAGGAGCAGTAAAGCCGAGACAAGAGAAGGGAGCTAGTGTTGTGGGTTCCATTTATTAGCTTGGTGCCCCTGGCCATGTCATTTCCCCTCTATGGGCCTCACTTTCACCTGTAAGTTAGCAAAGCCTGCAGCTATCTGTAGAGCAATTATAGAGCTGGCACAACACGCCACAGAGGGTTGCGTGCCTGCATCCTCTCCGACAACCACACGCCCTCTCATGCCAAGAAACAACCAGTCTCAGCTGCTAGGCCAGGCTCAACTTGAAGCTAAACGGTGTACAAGGCAGAGTGAGGGGACACAGCCAGCGCCTGTCTGTCTGGCCTGCTGCTAAGGCTTCAGATGGGACTTTTGCAAAGACCTGGGAGACAACCGGTGTGAACAGACTTTGCAAAATCTCAAAGTTCCCAGTAGGGCAGCACGGCCTACAGAATGTTCTGTGATGCTGCTAATGTCCCTGTGGTAGCCATGAGCCACATATGTAGTCAGCAGGTTCTTGAAACGTGGCTTGTATGCCTGAGAAAATCATTTAAACCTTTATTTCAGGGCCTCCCTGGTAGCGCAGTGGGTTAAAGTGCAGCACTGCAAGCTCGGCACAGTGCTTCAGTGTGAGTTCGATCCCCGCCCGGGAGCTGACCCACATGGCTCAGCAGAGCTCTCCTGACCCACCCGCTGCTCCCCTCAGCAGTGTACTTCATCAGTTGGCCTGTTCTGCTCCCCACTCTGTCTTTGGTGACTCCTCTCACCCTCCGCATCTCTGGGCTGTACCCCAGTTCTGTATGCATAAATAAATAAAACTTTAAAAAAATCATTTTATTGCACTTTAAATTGAAATTCAAACCTGACCACCTGTAGCTAGTGGCACAGCTCTGGCTCATGCCTTCTGTCACTTATCACTCTCAACATTGTTCCATTCATAAGCGAGAAACCACCCTTATT